TGTCCGGGGGGGTCCCTTTAAGCACGAGCCTCAGATAGCCTCAGACAGCAGCCACACAAAGCAACTACTGACCTGATGCCCTGCCAGAACCGGTTTCAGCCGCCCTTAAATGCCCCCCTGCGTCCAATCAGTGTGGACGCGCTAGTTCGAATTAGCAAAACGCTAATTTGAACTAGTTTTTAGTTCTAGATGCGTTAGTTTGAATTAGCTTAGTTCGAATTAACTAATTCGAACTAAGTTAGTTCGAATTAGCGCTGTAGTGTAGACGTACCCCCTCACGTTGTATTACCAAAAAAAAAAGACAAAGCAGGTGATGCCTAGAAGGGCCGGACGCGGGACTCAGTGTCAGACTCGCACCCTCCTGGAAACAAAGTCTCCCTCAGTCTCTGCTCCCGGCATTAATTTAGGACAACGGCGAGCCTCCTCGGACACTTGCAGCAACACGCCTGGGCGTGGCAGCCATCCCGTACATAGTAGGCCGGCCTAGACCCCCCGGGATACCCATCTGGTGTCGCACAGTGGAACGGGCGTGTGTTTTCCCCCAGAGTCAGACATGGAGCGAAGAGAGATTTTTAGCGCCCCCTCCAACTTTTGACTCTCATGCGTACAGAGGAGTTTGCCACCTCTTGGCAGAGGCAATGCCCAGCTGCTTAGGAGGTCGGCAGATTAATTAACCCCAAAGAATTGGTTACCTCAGCTGTGTCTCTCTTGGTTACCGCCAATGCGTAATGTGTTGGCTGGGGACTGTGCCCTGTGAGTGGGGCCAAGGCAGGAGGCAGAGCTGGGCCTGGCTTGGCCCTTGCTCATTTCCCACCCCACACAGCTCATCCTGAGCTTGGATTGCAAAGGGGCTGAGGGCTCAGGGGTTCCAGGAGAGACGCGGGTCTCAGGGGTTGCTGGGAGTCAGACCAAAGATTCGGTCGATGGCCGGGGAAAAAGGACACAAACGATTCCCCTGCGGGGGCAGAACTGGCCCTTCCTGGCCTACGGCAGAGACATTTCCTGTAGAGCAACAAGGGTGACACAACCGGCTTCCCGCCGTCACCAACAGCGTCTCCCTGCCGAGCTGGGGCTGGAGTGGGTGTCCCTGAAAATCAGCAGACGGTCCCTGCGCTGCGTCTGAGGCTGTTTGGCACCTCGAGACCCCCCACACCTTGAGGGTCTGACACCCCAGGGAGCTTGTCCTGACTGGTCCTGCTGCAAATTGACAGGAGCCAAAAGGACCCGCCCCCTGACGGCTCTGAAGCCTCCAGGAGGGAACTGGTTCCTAGGGCAGTGGGGTCTGGGAGTGAGGTGTCCTGGGGTCTGTGCCCAGCCCTGGCAGGGCAGTGGGGTGTAATGGTTAGAGCAGGTGGGGCTGGGAGTCAGAGCGCCTGCATTTTCATTGTGGCTCTGAGACAAGAGTGGGGCCCAGAGTGTGAGCCTCAGGGACCTGCAGCCATGAGCCCTGGGGGTGTCCCTACCCCTGCCCCTGACTCTGTGTGTTGTGTGGCCTGGGACAGACCATCGCTCCTGCCAGAGAAACACGAAACACAACGTACAAGAGATTAGAAAGTTTTTAAATCTAGAAACACACACGGGGACGATGTTGCCACTGGCCTGGGGATGGGGATTGGCTGCAGTTCCAGGCAGCGCTGCTCTGCCCCCGGGGAACAGAGCGAGACTTTTGCACCAGGGACTCGGTCCCAGAGGCCAGCGAAGAAAATAAAATAACCCAGTTCCCTTCCGACCATCCAGCGCCTGCCGCGAGCAGATGGAACCGCTCGGCTCAAGCAAGGTAGGCTAGGAATGAATGAATGAACCCCAGCCGTTCACCTCGCAAACCCCTCAGCATCATGGCCTGGTCTGCAACTGGAGCAAAACCATGTCCACCCCCGGATCTATCTATCTATCTATCTATCTATCTATCTATCTATCTATCTATCTATCTATCTATCTATCTATCTATCTATCTATCTATCTATCTATCTATCTATCTATCTATCTATCTATCTATCTATCTATCTATCTATCTATCTATCTATCTATCTATCTATCTATCTATCTATCTATCTATCTATCTATCTATCTATCTATCTATCTATCTATCTATCTATCTATCTATCTATCTATCTATCTATCTATCTATCTATCTATCTATCTATCTATCTATCTATCTATCTATCTATCTATCTATCTATCTATCTATCTATCTATCTATCTATCTATCTATCTATCTATCTATCTATCTATCTATCTATCTATCTATCTATCTATCTATCTATCTATCTATCTATCTATCTATCTATCTATCTATCTATATACCCCCCTCTATCTATCTATCTATCTAGGCCAGTCCACCTGACAGTCTATCTGACAGTAGATCCATGGATCTATTTTTTTCTGAATCTGTCCTTCTGATTCTAACTCATTTTGCTTTCCCGGGGACTTGCCCTCTGGGCTGTGATGCTAATTGCCCCGGGTGATGGGCTAATTGCCCCGGGTGATGGGCTAATTGCCCCGGGTGATCCCTGCCCCCTGTGCTAGGGCCCTGTTCAGGGGTGTGTGCTGTTGTTTCGTGCTGCTCCCTGCTCTCGCCTTGACTCCCCTCTGTTCCCAACCCTCCGCACCCAGACAGCGTGAGTGGAAATACTGGTTCTGGCTGTGGGTGTCCCCGCAGTGGGGGAGCCCAGCACCCCCGTGTGCAGCCAGAGGTGCCTCCTAGGTGCAGGGAGGAGAGAAGGGCTATTGCAGGGCCGTAACGCAGGCGAGGCGAGGGAGGCGCTTGCCTCGGGCACACAGCTGAGGGGGCTCAGGAAAACAATAGAGAAAACGAATTATTTTCAGACCGTGCCGCTTCCCTCCCCCGCCCAGTAGCATCGGCCGGCCCGCCGTTTCCATGTCAGGCTGCACGTTGCTGCACCGTGATCCAACAGTCCCCGGCCCTGGCGGCCGCCCAGTGCCTCAGCAGCTTCCAAGCGGCGAGGGAGGCCGGGCACCTTCAGGTACCCTAGCGCAGTTCCAGGGCTTCGATTGCCCTGCACAGGGGCGGAGGTGCAGGGCGTGAGGTGAGGGGGGTCAGACTGGAAGCTAGGACTCGTGGGCCTTGTCTCACCTCTGCCAGAGGAGTGGCTTTCGGTCTGAGGGGTATGTGCTCAGAGCTGGGGGTCTGGGAGCTACGATCCCTGCGCCCTTTGGTTTGTGGTCCAGGCGCTTAGCCTGTTGGAGTAATAGTTTTCCCTCCAAAACCTGGACCCCGTGCTGCTGAGCCGCCTGGGCCAAGTGCTATGAATGTGGCACACAAACCAAGGGGACCAGGCAGTGGCCGTGGCTTTAAAAGAAGTTTTAGTAAACTAAGCTGAATGAAGAACGACCTTTGTGCGTCCGTGGGTCAGGAGAGATGATCCGATACGCCCATCTCATCAATAGGACATGAGGAAGTGCATCATATTCATTTCAACGCAATTATGGATGAGTTGACCTCATTAAAAGCGTGCCAAGGACAATTATGAACAAATACCTAAGAGCATCTGACATGGTGATATTTTATAATTATATGTATGTATGTATGAATTGATTGTTCATGCAGATCTCATAACTATAATAAAAAACCTTGTGTTATTCTTATTCTTATTCTTATTCTTATTGATGTGTTTTCCCTTTTTCTACAAAACAGCGACTATGAATATATACACACAAAGGGGCACAATTTTATATTCTTGCCTCAGGTGTGAAATTAGCTGGTTACGGCACTGGGTAATCAGTTCACAGGGACACAGTGTAGAAACGACTTGTCAGAACAGGGTGTGTCTACACTTGCAGCCTAATTCGAACTAGGGATCCAAATGTAGGCATTCGGAATTGCAAATCAAGCCCGGGATTTAAATATCCTGCATTTGATTTGCATCTTCCCGGCCGGGCGCGATTTTTGAAATTGACAAGCCCAGAATAACTGCCCGCGTCTACACATGGCAGTGAAACGGGCGTTCAAAATAAAGCCCTATTTCGAACTACCTATTAAACCTCATTGCAGGAGGAATAACAGGTAGTTTGAACTAGGGCTTTATTTACCAGGTAGACGCGGACAGTTATTCCGGGCTTATAAATTTCAAAAATGGCACCCAGCCGGGAAGATGCAAATCATGCACAGGATATTTAAATCCCGGGCTTGATTTGCAATTCCGAATGCCTACATTTGCAGCCCTATTCTGAAATAGGCTGCAAGTGTAGACATACCCTAGTGGAATTATTTTGTATTTCTCCTTCTAAAACTTTATCCTATAGTTCGAACTAGGGCTTTATTTCGAACGCCCATTTCACTGCCACGTGTAGACACGGGCAGTTATTCCGGGCTTGTAAATTTCAAAAATAGCACCCGGCTGGGAAAATGCAAATCAAGCGCAGGGTATTTCAAACCCGGGCTTGATTTGCAATTCCGAATGCCTACATTTGCAGCCCTATTCCGAAATAGGCTGCAAGTGTAGACATACCCCCAGGGACTAGACACAGCCAGTACCATCCAGCTTGGGAAGAGGAGGCCCAGAGCCAAGGACCCCCCCATCTCTTCCCCCAAAGCCAGCGAGACTCACTCCCCCCTTGCACAGGCCTGCCTCCGGTCTTTTTCCAGTTTCTCGGGCATAAGGTGTCACCTTGTTACCCTGCTTCCTGGGCTCAGGTTACAGGAAGCATCAGCCATTGTGTCCGGACAGGTGGCTGTCACACCAAAACTCCCACCATCATCTCACAGGGAAACTGAGGCACACACAGGATTACTACCGGCCAGATGAAATTGCATGCACCACCACAAAGCAAACAGAGGGAATACATTCCCCCTCTTCCTCACAGGGGCTCTTGCATTAGGATCTCTGTTTGCCACAACCCTCTCCCCACATCTTTCAGGCTTTCAGAAATTGCTCTGTTTTTTTAAACTGCTGTGTTTATAAATAGACTGTCGAGGTGCCGTGAGGAACTCTGGAAAATTCACTCAGTGGCCAGCGACAAGCATCAGTCCAGACCTTATTCCTAACGGTGAGTAAATGGTTCCGTGTATTTGGAGCTGGTCCAAAGGGCAGCCAACAAACAAACAAATAAATTGAAAGCCTTTCCGAGCACAGGGTGTTGTCCGGGTTGACGTTTTCCAGGAGAAAACATTGAGGTTGACGGGAGGTCTCAATGTTCTATTTCATTTCCTATTAACTCGGCTACGTCTAGACTGGCATGATTTTCCGGAAATGCTTTTAACGGAAAAGTTTTCTGTTAAAAGCATTTTTGGAACAGAGCGTCTAGATTGGCATGGACAATTTTGCGCAAAAGCACTTTTTGTGGAAAAGCATCCGTGCCAATCTAGATGCGCTTTTGAGCAAAAAAGCCCCGATCGCCATTTTCGCAATCGGGGCTTTTTTGTGCAAAAGAAATCTCTGCTGTCTACTCTGGTCCTTTTGTGCAAACGTCTTTCGGAAAAAGACTTTTGCCCGAACGGGAGCAGCATAGTATTTCCGCAAGAAGCACTGATTTCTTACAGTAGGAAGTCAGTGCTTTTACGGAAATTCAAGTGGCCAGTGTAGACAGCTGGCAAGTTTTTCCAGAAAAGCAGCTGATTTTCCGGAAAAACTGGCCAGTCTAGACACAGCCTTTGAATCTAATTTAGGGCTTCCTCTGTTTCAAATTTCCGGATCGATTCTGGGTGGAAACAAATACTGGAACATTGCAAATGTCCATGCGGTGGAAAGTCCATTTCCTGGCCAGCTCTGCCTTTCTGGGAACGGTCGTATTTCAGACCCGGTGTGGCGGCTCCCCTGGGGGTAGCTTAGAGAGGGATTATTGCTTCTCCAGGATACAGCACAGCATAGCCGTGATGTGGTTACAGGAGTCAGGGCCTGGCTGCCTAAGACCCCTTGGGGCAGGGGTCCATCACCCACCCCCCTCAACTCCCAGTACTCAGCTTAGTCTCCTCTCTTCATGGTTTCCCTGCAAAAAACTGTCTTGCTCCCAGGCCCTGCCCCCCAGCCAAGTGGCTTTCTCCGCCATCCTTCATCCCTCCCCCTGGGAAGTGCCTTATTATCTGCTCAGGCTGGGCTTAGGTGTCCGGGCCAATCCACATGTGGGTGAGCCAGTGGGAATCCCACATCACAGCGCAGGGGAATCCCGGGTTACAGAGCTGACACACTCGTCCTCACAGAACCATAGAATCCTGTGGAAGGGACTTCGCGAGGTCCTCGAGTCCAGTCTCATGTTGCCTTTTTTAGAACTTCCTTCTTGTAAAATTCTTTATCTCAAGGTCAACACTGGTATCTATCAATATAGATTCATGGAGGTGTTAAAATTTCCACCACCAAAGAACTAGCCCTAGGTCTTTTTTTTTTTTTTAATGACTACTGAGAGAAACCTCTTTCAGCAGGCCTCACTTACAGGAGTTCTCACTTCAGTGGCATGCATGTATTAGAATAACTAGTTGCGTGATTAAGATAGAAGTCAATGAGAATTTGCCCTCATTTTTAGCAATTGCATTTGGTGAACATGACCGTAGGGTGAACGAACGAACGAACGAACGAACGAAAGAAAGAACGAAAGAACGAAAGAAAGAAAGAAAGTCCATCTGCTGTCAGAGCTGGACTGATATCAAAATAGCCACATGACTTTATGCGTCATGGTGGTTCTACCCCTTTACATGTTAATATTTATGATTGATGCAGGTTTTAGTCTGACATTCCCCCCCCTCCCAAAAAAGGAAACCAATATGATAGTTTTTATTCACATCCATTGGTTAGGTCTTTTTCTCTGTCACCCCTGCAGATGACCTATTCTCAGAGCAACCCTGCCGAGAACCAGACCGTCTCTAAGGAGTTCATCCTGGTGGGGTTTTCCTACCTTAAGAAGATGCAAATTCTTCTGTTTCTGCTGCTTCTAGTCCTCTACCTGCTCATCCTGATGGGGAATCTCCTGATTATCCTTCTGGTAAAGCTGAACCCCTCCCTCCACACTCCCATGTATTTCCTCCTGGTGAACCTGTCCTTCCTGGAAATCAGCTACACCACCAGCGTGGTCCCTCAGCTGATGGCTCACCTCCTGGTGGAGGAAAAGACCATCTCCCTTGCAGGATGCGCTGCCCAGCTGTTTCTCATCACCACCATGGGCCTTACAGAATGCTGCATCCTCGCAGCTATGGCCTACGACCGCTATGTGGCCATTTGCCACCCCTTGCACTACACGACCATCATGAGCGGACGGGTGTGTGCGCTGCTCGCTGGGACTTCGTGGCTCATCGGTGTCTCAATGGAGGTAGCTCAGACCACATGGATCTTCAGCCTGCCCTTCTGTGGCTCCCACCTCATCCACCACTTCCTCTGTGACATCCCACCCGTGCTGAAGATGGCCTGCGCCGACACATCGAAAAACGAGATCATGGTCTTGACTGTGTCAGCGCTGTTCGTCATATGCCCATTCTTGTTGATAATCCTGTCTTACATCCTCATTCTCTCCACCATCCTGAGGCTTCCGTCAGCAGAGGGAAGGGGTAAAGCCTTCTCCACCTGTTCCTCTCACCTCATGGTGGTGACTTTCTTCTACGGCACGGCCTTTTTCACCTACCTGGTGCCCAAATCCACCTCCACTAAGGACAGGGATCTATGGATTTCCCTCATGAACACAATTCTGATACCATTGTCAAACCCCTTAATCTACACGCTGAGGAATAAAGAAGTGAAGGGAGCCTTGAGAAAAATAGTAGAGAAGCACATCGGTTTATAGTAGCAGAGGAATTAGAGAATGGAAAGTCGAGTTAGTTTAATCAAGGGGGGAAAGGTAAATTAATTTCAAGGTAAATAATTACTCACAATATCCCTCACTTTTGTAATTGAAAAACAAACTTTGTCCTGTTCTAAAACCGCTCAGGACAATGGGAGAAGAAAGTTTTGTTACTAAAAATAACCCACATTTTTCATATCTGAATATTCATGAAAAGCAGATAGAGCCTTTTCACCCGTTTTCAACTTCATTGAACAGTCAAATGAGAAAATTTAGGCTAAGCAGGGTCCTGATTTTATATCTTCAGAATTTGAAATTTCACGAGGCATAAGAGAGGTCGATAAAGGCGTCCCGTGTAGACCAATCCGCGTCTAGACTGCTGTGCTGAGCCGGATCAGCTGATTGTTGGCACAGCGCGGCGGCCATTTTTATTTTAATGAAGCGGGGATTATTTAAATCCCCGCTTCATTGACTATGTCGGGTAAACTAGTTTACATGGCTCCGTCTTCGGAGCCATGTAGTCTAGACACCCTTCATGTTTTGTTAGTCTTTAAGGTGCTACTAGACTGTTTGTTGTTTTTTAAGTTATTTCACTAAACATTCACCACAGTTTGTGCAAGTGTAGCAAATATTAGTACAAGTTTAATACTTGAAAAAATCCAACCCACTCCATTTATGCATCTCCTTTTCCTGGTCTGGCAGTCTGATGCAGCGTTGTACAATACGGGTCAGGTTGTGTTGATTGCTTGTTGTCTGTCTCTTGATTTACCGAGGGCTCTCTGTGGCCTAATTTTAACTAACATTCCTTTGCACAGATGATTGGTTTCTACTACTAAATATTTCAATGCCTAACCCAATTAACTTAAACAATAACTCCAGCAGATAGATTGACCTGCATGACATTTTGCATGGTGCCAAAGTCTGTGCAGGCAGATCGGATTGTCTGATGACAGTGGACAGGGCAGATTCGTTGTTTACCACTTCACAAGGCAAGTGATCGTGATCTGGCATCAGATTGTGCTTAATGGTGGTTTTGGAGTTGGAGAAGCACTGTGCCTATTTCGTACTACATGTGAGCTGTGTCCAGAACCACAAGAGGTCTGTATTGATGTACTACAATATTGCAGCAAATGCCAGAGAATATGGTACAAATTGTGCATACTTTTCTACACTCCTCTGATGAGCGACACTAATTTGTTTGCTCATCAGCTTATGTCGCTGCCCATGTAGAACACATACCAAATAAAAAATCTCTGACTCAGCATTGACATGACTACCTGTCTTCATTCTCTAAATAGCCCTATCAGGCATTTGTAGGAAGCTTCCAATGCAGAACGATTAGGAGAAGTACGGGATGGCTGTAGGTGCCTTTTTTATTTCTCTCTGCTACTAATTTCTGCTTTGATTAAACAAAAGTCTTGTTGGGAAGAGAAGAAATGAGTGATGTTGGAAATGTACCATGCCTGTAAGAATAACCCCAAAACCAGCCCTTTCTCTGGGAAATTTAGGAGCTGAGACCCAGAAACGTGACCCAGAAATAACAGTCCACAAGAAAATGGTAGGTGTGAATGGTTGTTCACATTTGCGCATGGGCAACGTACACGGCAGGGGAAATTTAATGGCTAATGCATTGGGTAAAGACTGGGGGGAAACTGAAGCATTTATGAAAGAGAACATGTAGGGGTATGTCTAGACTACATGCCTCTGCCGACAGAGGCATGTAAATTAGACCACCCGACATAGTAAATGAAACGGGGATTTAAATATCCCCAGCTTCATTAAAATAAAAATGGCCACCGCCTTGTGCCGACTCAGCTGATTGTCATCACAACACGGCAATCAAGACATGGATCGGTTGACAGGGAAAGCCGTTGTCGACCAATCCTGTAAACCGCGTTTCACAAGGCATAAGGGATCTGTCGACAACGGCTTTCCCTGTCAACCAACCTGCATCTTGACTGCTGTGTTGTGCCAACAATCAGCTGAGCCGGCACAGCATGGCGGCCATTTTTATTTTAATGAAGCGGGAGATATTTAAATCCCCACTTCATTGATTATGTCGGTATGTCTAATTTACATGCCTCTGTTGGCAGAGGCATGTAGTCTAGACATACCCTAGGAGAATACATTTCAAAGAGGCCCAACGCTGGAGAAATACTGGTCTACAAAACTACAAAGAAGACCACATGACCAAACTAGGAGACAGGTTACTAAAGTAAGGTTACTCGATACCGTTTACTGATTCCACCTTGACTGTGGTTACTCCTCAGGCAGGAAACAATGTCCCACTGTTAGACATGACGCTAATTCTGTCCGAAATAAAGGCTCAGCAGATACAGCCTCAATGGGGGGAGTGGATGTGTGACTCAGTTTCCCATGCTACCCTCATGACCATCACGTACACAATGTGGTAAAAGAGGGTACATCCCACAGAAATGCCCACCTCTCGTCCTTGCAAGTGTGGCAAAGTCTGGGGCTAAGCCCTGTGGGTCCTGCACTTCCTGGCGGGTTCTTGTGGGCCTCAGAGGCTTGCAGTGTCCCTAATTACTGCCATGAAGGCCAGGGTACACTGCTACCAGAGCCTCATTCATCATTGGCCAGTCCAGTGTCCTTCTTTCTCCAGTCCCTGCTGGGCCTTCCAGCCGGGGGGGGGGGAGGTTGAGGAGAGTTGGGAGGAACCCGGTCCCACCCATTTGCTCTGGGTTCTGGCCCAGGGCTCTATAGGAGGGGGCAGACCCGAGCAGGTCGTGTGAGCCCGGAGCAGGTCGTGTGGCCCGGCCCTTGCCCCCTGAGCACCAGCCCCTCCCTAGGCCACTTCTCTAATCCTTCCTGCAGTACCTCGTTCCCCATATCGTGGAGCAAACCTTCCCGTCAGCTCACTAAGCTCTGTGCAGCCCTGCCCCACCAGAGGGCACTGTTCCAGAATGAGCCACACGCCCTGTTCCCTGTCGCTCAGCACCCCCTGCTGCTGAGCTGGGGTATTGGGATTCACCCACCTGAGACCGGCCTACAGAGCCCTCCCGGCACAGCCCCTCAGCGCCCCCTAGCGCCAGCCTGGGGTTTTGCCAGCAGCACCGACTAAGAAGGTCTGTGCCTCAGTGGAGTGTAATGGTTAGAGCAGTTGGGGCTGAGACTCAGAGCTCCTGGGGCCTCAGCCTGTCTCTGAGACAAGAGTAGGCCCAGAGTCTGAGCATCCTGGACCTGCAGCCACAAGCCCTGGGAATTGCCCCTGCCTCTGTGCTGTGTTGCCTGGGACAGAGCATCCTCCTGCCAGACAAAGCCATGTCACTCAAGTTGCCAGCCTTAGCAAATCCCAGGGTGATTTTCCTCGGAAACTACACAAGGTGGCGATGGTGCAAATTAGTATTCAGCAACTGGCCTGGGGACTGTTGTTTTGCTGCCGTTCCAGACAGGACTGGGACAGGTGATTTCCTTCGGGGACTAGCGCCCAGAGGCCATGGAAGGAAACAAAAACCCCTCTGTTCCATTCAGCACTG